CACATTTCAAAACCTATCTAATATATATCTAAGTATTAAAACTCGGCAATTTAAATTATTAACAAAAATAGTAAAATTGCAAAATTTGTGACGTTAACCCAGACATGGGGGAGTTTAATATATGTGAACAGTTGTGACAAGGAGGTGGGTCGTGGCCAAAAATCATGAATTTCGTGTGACGGGTCCACAGACGGCCCCATTTCCACTCAAACAGACACTTTCATTAAAAGTAGTTTTAGGCATCTTTGGTTAAATAGTCGATCAGTCAATGTATTTATACTAGTTAAATTTGAAAGGTAAGATCATACAATTTCACGGGTAGCAATAAAATTAAAATTTGAATAAACTTTTTTTGTGCTCACGAGTCGTGACGGTCAATGTACCACGTTTTATACCATGCACAAACCTTCTTTACGATAGCTATCTAGCGAAAGTGTATACGTGCACTGACGATTTGTTTAACAGAAGACAACGTAAATCTTACTTACCTATCTTAAAACCAGAACATTAAGCGATAAACTAATTTTACTAAAAGATTGCGCGCGCTTTTTTCTTTTGTTTTTTTGTGAATTTTGAATATTTTCTACCAGGTTCTAGTTTCAGTTCGACTGTGCTAGCTTGGTCTTTTAAAAAAAAAACTACGAATATAATACTTAGGACTTTAAGCATTTACCAACGCATAATGAAGTATGGTGTACTTGTTCTCCTACAAAGATGTATAAACCGTCACATCATAACATAAATTCTATTTGTCCATCCAAAAATTGCCTGTAAGAAATTACTTTTTAGCGATAAGACCGCCATTTTTACATGGTCATTGACTTGATATACGTCTATATGTATGATATACTAACCTGGTGTACAAAAGAGTTTATTCTATTCTATAAATACTGACCAATCAATGAACATCATTCAAACTCGTTTGTGTTAAGTACCGGTTAAATAAATGAAGCAGAAAAAAAAAACATTTTTGTTGTTTGTGTCATAATTACGCCACAACGATTGAACAAATACTTAACTAAAGTTGGTTGTACAAGAAAAAAAATGAATGCTTTGGCTTTTAGAACATACAAAGTAAATAGATATTTTTATACTTTACACTAGCTGACCCGGCAAACGTTGTTTTGCCATATACATTATTTCAAAAAAATTGGTGTATGGAAAATAGATGTTGGCCGATTCTCAGACCTACCCGATATGCATGCAAAATTTCACGAAAATCAGTGGAGCCGTTTCGGAGGAGTCCAACCACGCACACCGTGACACGAAAATTTTATATATTAGATTTATACATCTATCTATAAAAGAAGAAACTGATTCACTGACTGACCGATCAACGCACAGCTGAAATCACTGGGTCTAGATTTAGAAGCATGTATTTTGCATTTTGCATAAATGTAGGTGTGCACTAAGAAAGGGTTTTTTAAACTCTACCCCTAATGGTGCAAAATGGGGGTTGGAAATTTATATGAAACTTCGTTATTTTGGTAGTAGCGTTTTTAACGTTTTTAGTAATTTCTTAAAACTACCCCTAAAAAGAGGTGCAAGTTTGTATAGGGAATCTTTTATCTTGATTCATTGTATCCTTTACGATGTCTGAACTTGTCAACCACGCGGGTGAAGTCGCGGGCAAAGGCTAGTAAATAATATATATTGAAAGTGTAAATGTAGAACGGGCTTGAACGTCAAATTGCCAAGTTTCAGCTGCCAACAATTTCGGCCTTTCCTTTTCACTGAGTGTGCCTAATTCCGTTTAGCAGAGGGTTAAATAACACAAAACAAAGGAGTTGGGAATGATGCAGTGGATATATTTTGCTAAACTGCTATTCACCTTTTAAGTCCTGATGTTTTAAAAATAATGTTTTAGTATTGACCTATCGTCCTTTAAAGAGAACAAACCAATATTTTCGATAATATTTTAATACCGAAGCTTTAGGTTTCTAAACTTTTGATTTTATTATGCCTGTCGATTCAACTATCTCACAATCGTAATATCGAAAAAGCTTTAAAAATATTTCGTACTAAAATTAGAATATTATAATAATAGTAATATTCTGCCACATTCACAGAACGCCATCTAATCCCAAACTAAGCAGAGGTTGTACTATGGATATTGGACAAGTGATATAAATACATATATATATTTTTTGTAAATTCATACATATTATACATAGACACACCCAGACCAAATCAAACATTAAATGTTCATGCACACAAATGTTTCACTTGAGCAATCTAACCCGCGCCCTTTGGAATAGCAGTTCGTTACCCAAACTACTACGCCATCTGATCGTCAATGTTAAGTGGTAACTCTTGCGAACGACTCAAAATATTAGTTATTAGTAGGCTGATTCGTGTTTTATAGCAAAAAGGTCTTTCGAGGTTAAAAACAATACCCAGATTGCATATTATACGAAATCTCCTTAGAAGGCTAAAAAGCCTAATAATGTTTGATGGATGGACCGCCCCGTCCAGTCATCAGTCAGACTTCGTGAAGTTTACAACATTTAGAATAATTAAGCCTTGAGAATATAACTCCAAATCATTATAAATCTGGAATATTTTTTATATTCATTCTAATGTTCAAAGTTCTTGTTTAAAGACATATGTATGTATATTAATTTAAACCTTTAGAAATAAGTTCCATTCCAGTCCACACACTGATTGCTGTCAGTGTCAAATAAATACTTGTTTTAATTATACGGAATTAAGTTGTCATGTAAATAACTATAATAGGTTCTAAGAATCTAGATGTATTTATGGCTTAAATAATAAGATGTAACATATCATTAACAGTAAATTATACTAAATTACGATACACACTTTCCGCATAGTTCTACATGTTTCAACGCTTTTTAAAATTAACAATCAGCTGAGATAAGCGTGATTTCTTAAACTCAAGGAACCGTGAGTTAGCCAAAACAGTGTTAACCATTTCTGTCATTGGTTTACGCCCAGTGAGCGTAACATTGGGCTTGGTGAGTACACCCAGTGAGTGATGTGACCAGAGCCCAAATGACGACCCCACCTCCAATCTAGGCTGAGGGGCACACAACACACAAAATTCAGTAACGTTTTTGTATTTCCTGGGTCAGAGACTATCAGAGATCACTCAGCAGAAGTATTTGCCTTGGGATCGAAGACAGGGACTTTCATGCTATGTTTTAATCACCTTCAAGCTCATAACTTTAAGCACAACTGTTTCTAACCACACAAGTGGTAGTGTGTATGGGAATTTCCTTTTACAGCAAAATAAGCTAAACATATTATCATGATTAAATATTAGATCATGTTAATAACTGGATCATGAACATTATGTTATAGTAACAAAATCTAAAATAACCTATATAGATATATTCAAAACTTATTATAAGAACAAGGATATAGTATCCTTGTTCTTATTATAGGTTTACCTCTTAATAATATTAGTATAGATAGATTAAATAAAATAACTGATGAACTAAAAATAGGGAAATAATCTATATGAATAAATAAAATTGAAGTGGCTGTTTGTAATGTAAAAATTATAGGTTTTTTCATGCTCACATGGTTATTTCCACGATACCTATGCCAGTTTAATTTTTTTCTCCTGACTGTCTGTCTGTTTGTTCCAAGTAATCTTTTAAACAGCTGGATCGATTTCGATAATATTTTACTACCAGGTAGCTGTCTACATTAGGAATACTTAGGCTATTTTTCCTCTCTCAAAAACCCTTTAAAGTTTTGCCCGGTCAGGGCATCTAACCCACTAATTCAGCAGTTTTCAAATTCCAAGCGAATGAAGTTGCGGGTACCAGCTAGTAATAAAAATAAACTTAGTTTTTAAGAATATTGCTTCAGTTACTCACATTTATTTATAATTTATTTGCTGAGGATATTTATTAATTAAATACTCCTTGATTAAGTCAAATATCTTCAATTATTTATTATTCATCAACATTTTCTGCATAGAACTTGTTATCCTTAAGAAAATGACTATTTTATTTAAAGCATTCTGCAAAAGAAACCACACACTGAAGCTAGCATAATTTAATCAGCATTTTAAGAACTAGAAGAATATTACTAGAGACAGAAATTATTGGTAGTATTTTATTCATTTTCATAATAATGTGTGCAAAAATTTACTCATTACACACGAGATGAGTATCTTAAAACCAATTTGTTTTTAGCATAACATAAAATTACCATATCAACACAGAAACCCATGTGTTTCAAGTAATTCCTGAAATTGGGTCAATTAACATATGTTTGTATAGTTTTAATAACTGAAGACACCGTAAATGTTTTAAATAATTCAATAAAAATAAAGCATTTAGTACTTTGTGAGTATCATAACAGTATAAGGCATTCTTTTGTTTTTAAATAAATATTTATTATATGTGGGACAAATTGGGATCTACTTTCAAATTTCAACTAGATTCAATGTAACACAGCCATTTTATTTAAGTGAAAGTTTTCTGTAGTTAAAATATTTTACAGTTTTCATAAAATTAGGTATAATATAGAGAATCATATAGATTTACTCAAACCTTTATTATTATTTTCTCGTTGTTGATAATTTTTCAATTGTTGATAAAAATTATGTTGTAATAGTTAGATAGGTAGCCAACTATTACCCAATCAATAATTTGGCGAATTATAATGTAATATCTATTACATCATCATATTTGATATATCTTTTTATGTAACATACTATTTTGACATTTAATACAGAGGATACGTTTATCAGAGAGTCTACTACCACATTGGACTTGAGAGTCACATCAGAAGTGAACTTGTTATGTACTTAATAGATTATATTTATTACTTTTTAACTTTTTCTAGTAATACTTGAAAAAAAAATAAGGAAGCAAAGCTTTAATTAATACTTTTACACTTGATTCTATATCAAATTTCAGAATATAAACATTAAAATGAAACAAATGATACTGTACTTCCCGTTCAATTGTTTTTGGATTACCAGGGTATTATAACACTGAACTTGAATAGATATCACTTACCTTGGCCGGTTCTGCATGTAGTACTGGCCGCCGAAAATGAAAGCCATATACACCCCTACGTAGTAAAATGCAACCGTCCAGTTCTCTGTCATCCATTTTCGATAATTGGAATGAATAAATTCGCTCTCAAAATCGAAAATATATGAGTAATTTGGTGTTATATCCAAATTATAAGACATCACTGGTGAACCCATTTTTCGTTCAGTCCCGATACCGGTCACGGCAGACTAGCACTTATATTTTTGTAAAGGTTGCACTGTTGAATCACATGAGATAATAACCTACAATATAAAACAGGATACCGCTGTATCGTTAAATCACAGATGACTAAAATGTCAATATTTCTTGGGCGGTTAGGCGTACAGTCGATAAGAGAGTTATGTTATTAATGACCACAAAAACTCCGATTAAACTATTTATTCGTAGTGACGAGGCGTCGATCGGTTCGAGCCCGAACTTAATTGACTCGTCACAGTACTAAGAGAAGAAGATGAATGAACTCGGGCTCGGTTCACGCCACGCCGCGTATCGCCTTCATTTGCTATTTGACAGAATAACCGCCCGTCGCGGGAACCCACTTGTGTTGCCAGCTTTTATTACCCAAATTGTACTAGATTAATCTGACTGAAATGTCATTCTTTCTGTCAATTTAAATACATTTTATTTTAATATCATTGATATTCATTCTTATTCTTTCATTCTCAAAAATTTTTTTTGGCTCTACCACAGCTCTACATAAAATCCTTTGACAGTTAGACAAATACATGACATTGGCGAAATTGTGGTTACACTCTACCACAAAGCCATTATCGAAAAGTTGAGTTTAAGGAATATCATTATTGTATTTTGGACCTGTTGTATCAACATTCAATTGTTACTGCATTAATAAAAGCCCATTTATAGTATAAGTTACTCACTCACTCAGTGAAAGGCAACGAAAGAATTGCCTAACACTGGTTTTCTGTGAGGCCGTGGTATCACTCCGGTCGAGCCAGCCCATTCGTGCCTAAGTGTGTCTCTCACAGTAAAAAAACATAGAACAAAATCAAATAAGCGTTGTATGTTCGATCCCGACATGGGACAATAACACTATTGTACTAAATACTAAAATTGTAGTTGTGAGTCTGAACTGGGTGCACTTTGTGTCCGTTTCATGTATGTCTGTGACATCATGTCATAGGATTAATTCCTAGTGCGGCAATTGTCTTAAAAAAAAGTGTTTAGAGAATCGTTAAACATATTTCATATGTCTCGAGTCACCATGATGTATCACTAGGAAGTTAAATAGTTTCCGCTAGACCTTCCTTCCTAAATATCGCTTCCTCCACATAAATGCGGTATATGTCTGAGCTACTTATTGGGTCTGTTGTTGATGCGAGGTGAGGATAGTTACAATTCTATGAGGAAAGGGATGATTATCGAAGCATTAATAAAACCGGTAGCGTAGTTACACTTGAAAGGCACTAATCAGTATTTTCTACTACACGAGTAGGATTATTTTCTTCTAAATTGTAAGAAATAAATACAAAATGAAACATTTTTATGAGTATTTTGTTATTCGTTTGATTTAAAATGTAAAGTTGCCGAGATGTCATGTAAGTATCTGCACCACCACCAAAAACGTATAAATTACAACCATTTAGATAATATAATGTCCTGCTAATTAAACGTATGAAATTTAATGAGACTGCTGCTAATAGTGGAACATTTCCAATAAAAATATATTCTTCGTGTCTGCACTGGCGTCAAAAAAGAAACGTTATACCTTAAACAAAATAAAAATAATGCAAATAAAATTGATGATGCAGTCATAATATTAATTCTAGTCCTGTAGTTATAAACGTCGAATAAACGTTGTTGCTATATATGACCAGGAAAAGTAGTCAAATAGACAGGTGTTTTCAAAAAAAATGATATTCAAGATGTTTCGACGTATTCATTTTGTATTTTGCTGTTAAAGTTGCAAAAACGTAGTTTTTCGCCATTATCAATTTTGATCGACTTTTTGCGAAGAAATGTATGATGTGAAAGTTGTAGAAAATAAAAATATCTACAAAATGAGACTTGGTGCGTTCCAATTGGTTATTTTGTTTATTTACATCATGCAAAAAAATTGGCAAAATCATTGTATTTTGAATATTTTTTAACTTAAACAATTATAAATGTAGGCTCACCAAACTTTGATCAATCATAGGCTCCCATGTGTGTCTGTTGCATAGCGTAGTGGTTTGTGTGACGGACTGGTACGCTAAAGGTCGCGGGTTCGATTCCTGCTCAAATCAAACATTTGTGTGTATGAACGTTTAATGTTTGATTTGGTCTGGGTGTTTCAATGTATATGTATGTATTTACAAAAAAAAAGTATATATGTATTAATATCGGTTGTCTAGTGCCTATAGTACAAGCTCTGCTTAGTTTGGGACTAGATTACGTTGGTAGAATATTATATTATCTTATAGTTTTTGCAAACAGACATTTATTTATCAAAAAGGCACTTTTTGTAACTTAATTATTACAGCTTTGGCAAGTCGTACAATGTTGTATTTAGGCTCATTCCTTCCTTAAGAGTTGTTTTTTGAATCTGTGTTATGACTAATTGATTTTTTTAAGGGGGCCTTGCACAATGAGGTACAAAAAAGTACTTAGTTATAAAATCACAGCAGAGCCTATGATTTACCAACGATTGGTAAGCCTACATTTATAACTGTTTATTTAAAAAAATAATTCAAAAGACAATGATTTTCATCAGTTTTTTGCATGTTGTAATAATAAAACCAATTTGAACGTACCAAGTCTCATTTTGTAGATATTTTTAATATCTACAACTTTCACAGTATACATTTCTTCGAAAAAATTAGAGGAAAATTTATAATGGCGTTTTTGCAACTTTAACACCAAATCACAAAATAATGGCACGGTCTCAGCTGTTGCATTTTACTTATATTATCATGATGACCAAAATACGCGGAAATATCTCGTATCTGGTCTATATGTAGCCAAAATTCAATGCGATTGCACAACAATAGCATTGAATTTGTGTGAACTAAGTTTAAATATATACAGAAATTTAATTAAGAAATCCAAGGTGGAATCCACAAGTTAGAAAACAAAAAAAAAACATAAGTAATGTTTTGTATCAGGCAACTTTTAATTTTCCTTTTAATATTGTAACACAATAAAATATAAATACTGATAACATTAAGTTCTCACTGAGAGCAAGCATTCACTCTCAGCCAAATATTTTATTTTTTTCTGACACATTCATAAGATATTCTTGCGTTGGTACATAATTAAACAAATACACACAATAACTACTGACTTTATGTAGTTATTCATTTATTTTTACAAGACCGTTGTCGCTTATAAAATTATACATTTAAAACACATCTTTATTAAGTATCTTTGTAACTTAATTGCATCGAGAATACCTAAATATTTGAAATACATTTTTCACAATTAAATTGGCAAAAATTATCATGTCATAGAATCTTCTGTATAATTCCTTAACAATCGGTAATTTACTTTTAGGCAAATCTTTCTCAATATTGTTTTCAGTTTCGTTGAAAAAGGTATACATATAAAAAGCAGGGTTTGCACCAATATTTAATACTTTATGTAATGTGCCAGAAGGAACTTTAATGTGTTCTCTGCTGGTTAGTTTATAGGACTGTCCAATTCGGTTCTCGAGGACCTCGGGCTCGTATGCTACCGTTCCTTCAAGAATAGTAAGAGTGACATTTGTGAAGTCTGGTGGAATGTATTTTTCTTGATCATAGCCTGTCAAAAAATAATTCAATTAAGTAATATTTAAATGATTATTTTAAATTTAATTTAAAATTTAGCATGTGTAGCTATTAGCCCTAATTGTTATCCAATATTTTTTGAATTTTATTTGCTACTCATCGTGGACACCTGAGTGATTAGATAGCTAGATTTCTTTTGTAATCCATTTCTAAGACAGCCCTATTTCTTCGCAGCCCCTATTGTTAAAATATAATGAAGCGAAAAAGGGCGAAGCGTTTGTCCCTTGAGTGTTTCGTTGAGTTCCTTGAGTGTCTTGAAAAGGATATTGTCTCTGAATTCAATAAGAGGCGTAGACAAAGTCTTTGTTAATACCTTCACTTTTTAAGCTATGGGTTATATCCTTATGGATGTCCCTTAGTCTTAAGGGGCAAGTAGATTTGTGTAACATTTACCGACTAAACACATCTCTGTGTTTCCCTGCTTGTCTATGGATAGGGACAGCGAGAATCATTGCATCGAGTAAGAGGAATCCAAAAATTTGACCGTACACAGATATACCTTCACTTGGTCGAACTTGTGATCCTTTCTTAGTCGGATAGGGATGACTATTAAGAAAGGGGGAAAGAGTAATAGATAGCACCAGGGCTTTGTTACAAGAAGATAAGTAATGTCACATAGTGGCGTATAATGAATAATGAAATCGTTATAATGAAAATGGCATATGAGGGACTAAAATGTTCAGTTTCAGTATAAATATTGTGTATCAAGTAATTTATTAATTATCTTATCAACAGCAACTATACTGTCAGCTCCGTAGAACACGTCATTTTCACTAACCCTTCCTACGTGTACTTAAAAGTTGTTTTTTTTTTGTTTAGAAAGACAACTCCGGCACTAGGAATAAATCCTGTGTCGCGGGGGACTTTACAAACATACAAACGGACACAAAGTACAACCAGACTCAGAACAACAATTTGTGGATCACAGAAAGTGTTGTCCGTGTGTGTGGGGTTTGAACCCACAACACTCGGCGCGATAGGAAGCGGCGTGGCGACCGCTTAAACCACTACGCCATTCGCGCAGTCGTGGTCATAAAAAAAAAAGACTTGTCTAACTAAGATCAAATACCCACCGGGAAAATCAGCAAAGAAAACAACATCGCTGTTATTACTCCAAGAATGCACTTCTTTACTAATAACATCTAAATTTTTCCTCCAGTCTTTACCTTCATCCAGCAAAGGCATCAAATAAGAAACTTTACTAAAAGGTGTCCAGGACGCTTTCAACAAATCAACTTTACTATCAAACATCCTTTGGAAAAATCTGCCATTCATTGAGCACCATATGTCTACATATATGGAGATATTCTTTTTTGTAAATTGCGATGGATCGTCGCTATTGGTTTCTGACGAGTGCATTTCAATATTTTCCTTCAGACATTGAGCGTATTGGTATATCATGTCACCGTGCCTTGACCATCTGTCATTGGGAGTGTTATGTTGAGAGTCAATATATACTTCTGTTTTACTGTTGTTATCTATGACTTTGACAACTAGGGAGCTGCTGTCCCAAGTGTGTACCATCATGTCCCAGGAATAGCCGTAAAGACCATTGGTCCAGTTGTTGTAACCCTAAGAAGAGGTAAAAAAAATATTAAAAAGCAAAATGTAACTTAGAGGTCTGGTTAGTTTTCTCCCCATTACCAGGCCATGTTTCTAAATGTTCTCTTCTTATTTACTGACTTGGCTTTGGGGGTTATGGTAAGACTTACGTAATAAATGGTAAGTCGATTGTCGTCAACCAGTCACATATTTTTCTAAATAGAAACACTTATATAATTCAATAAATACATGCATTTTGTAAATAAATTACTCCCAAACTCAGAACAAATGATCGTGCTAATCACACAATATTTGTCTTGTGTGGGAATCGAACCCATGACCTCTGTCTTAACATGATCACTAAACACTGGACCAATAGGACCCTAGAAAATAGACATAAAGTATTATTGAGCCACAACAGACGAGAATGAATTTGCAACAAATAAATAAGTAATTTGTTATTAATAATATTTTGTTATGTCAGTCTGCCAATGATTTATTTAGCAGTACGTTTTATGTTGTTAATAATATATTGTATGACAATAGTCGAAGCATGGAAGCCCATGAAAATTGAGAAAATAAAAAGACACCTACACCTGCCCGAAATATTTATTTAAAATAACTTTTGTATCGCCATACCTTAGTTATAAAATGTGAAAACGGTAGAAACGCTTGAAGAAGAACATACAACGCAATTAGATATATCGTTCTCTTTTTTTTTAGACTGTCATCATTGGCATCTGTGTCAGTGCCTACATCTTTCATTTCTGGCAATTCCTTTTGCTGCATTGTTGTTGTTGCATCTCTATTTTCTATTACTTCTTTTGTTTTTGGAATTTCTTTAATATTATCATACTTAGTTCCTTTTATCAACTCATTGGTATTGTCTTTAAGATTTTCACTTTGTACTTCGTTATAATCCTTTGCGTCTTTAGCACCATACGCATCAGATGATAAGTAAATGTAGTTATGTATTAATTCAGTAATTTTAGATGAAATGCAGTTTTTAATACAGATGTAATGAGTTTTAGTATAAGATGCGATTCTTTTCGGCCAGTCGAATGGATAATACAAAGGCATAGTAGCCAAACAAACCCAGGGGAACATACCTGAAAGAGAGAAAGCTCCAGCGAAATCATTCGAAAGAAAACATAAGAAAAGGGCAACTGGCATAATGGAAACAAACTACCATCACCAAACCAAATCTATTTTGAACTTGATTTGTAAATTTAAAAAGCCTTGTTACTAAAAAAAACAAATGAACAACAACGTTAACCTTAAGCAATTACCCTAATTACCAAACTTAACTCTAATTTACTAACTTAACCAAAATTTTGTGAATGATCTCGAAATTCAAATTTAAAGTCTAGAAATCTTAAATCTCATAATTCATTGAACTTAATTTTATAAAGAGGCATTTCAATAATTTGAGCGATTAGTTTGTGTTTTGAGTCAGGTATTTTTTTCAAAATTTTAGGCCTTCAATTACATTTATTTGAAGTTTTTCTGAATGTAAGTTCATAGGTTACATTCAGAAAAAGCTTGTTACATCAACACGATTGGATTTATGAACTTTGCTTGCCTGAAAACTAAATACAATCTAGTAGGCTAAATCAACATCTGCCATTGTTAGAAACAAAGTATTTTAGTATACCAACCAATTCTGAAGAGTCTGCTGTTCATAAGATGGAACAGCGCACAAAACACCATCGCCACGTGCCTGGTGTACGCGCACATCATCCATATGGCGACGGTAAGATCGAATATAAATACGAACCAGTGCACCACTATATAATCTGTTTGAGGCACCGTGAGAAAGTACCTGTAAGTTATAGTTTTGTATTGAAGCTTTTCTTAAAAATGATTAAAAAACCTGATCATGCCCAGAATTTGCCCATAGTTATAAGGTTGGTCTTTCTTTTCTCAAATTTTAAACTTAGTTTCTACATTATGAGGGATGATTTTGTTCTAAAAAAAGGATAGCATTTTGTCGAATTTGAAGCGTCCTTTATTTTAAGTCACCTGAAATATATTTGTGGGGACCTGGTATCCTGTAACACAGGTTTTTATACCTATCTCAGGCACCAGCGATCCACTAACGAAATTGTCAAATGTTGTAGCGTAATCGTATTTTCGTTGTATGTATTTTGGTTTTGGTATGAAATAAACGATATTATTATTATTATTATATATTACAGTAGTATAGAAACTTAGAAGTTGCTAATAGTAACAAAAATGTACAAAAGTTTCATACATTTTTACCTGCAATGATTTAAAAAAATAAGATGAACTAAATGACATAGGCCAGATCTATATATATACGAATCTTTGGGCCAGATGTCCAATATCCCCTACATTCGTATTGCGATGAGTCAATACGATAATAAAATACTGATTTCCTTTACCGTTACAGTGTATACAGATCAACTAAAACTAACTAACTTTTACAGTAAATGTATATAAGTCTATCTAAAACACCGCACGGATAAAGAATTTCCCGAAGAAAATATGCTTTGTGAATTAAGTCACGGGCAGCTCTTACTTAAAAGGATCAAAGACCCAGTGTTCGCTAAGGTTCTGTACTGAATACCCAGTGAGCCACTCGGCGGTTCCTTTCTTCATGCCAGCCATGAAGTACAAGATGAAGAACTGGTATTTTAGTATGAAGTAATTCCAATATGGGACTGTTGACTTCTTCTTTGTATGTTGTAGCTTGACGTCTAAAGACCTGTTAAAACGATACACGAATATTAGTAAGGAAAAGTACAAGTATTGATCATTCAGATAATAAAGAGAACAAGGGTTCTGCTCATTCGATAATCATTCTTCAGTCACTTTTATCTAAACCCATTTTTGTACTGTAAGATATTTTGTATCACACTACTTACTTTTATTTTAACATTAGAAAATTTCATAGTAATTATGAAGGTTCTGTGCATTCGAAGGGTGCCTGTAAGAAATTACTGTTAGTGTAAAGGCCCTTTTATATATAAGTAGGTACATATCAATTTTGTGTACCTGTACCACACGCTATAAGCGATAAGTAAATACTGTACAATAACTCTTGTCTTCTGTGGTATCTTGATTATTTCGTAATACCTTAGAAGTAAAACAACAATTATTGATTTACAAAGCTTATGGGCGCAATTCGCTAAGAGTGATGCTTTGCTAGGACAAAAACATCTATTTTGCCTACTGCAATATAACAATAAACAATTGTGGGTAAAAAATATTAGTTTCTTCTTTATTTAAATATCAAAACCGTTGCTTACCAGTAACAATTAGCTTCAGTACAACTGATTAACAGCGCTACAAGTCCGAAGAGATAGCTATGATTGTTCCAGTAGCTCTTCTCTATGAGGAACAGGTACCAATAGCAAATAGTGAACATGGGACCGGCTATCGTGTAGTGGTATCCAAGCATTATACCTAAAGCACCTGGAAATTAAAACCTAATTAACGATGCCCTATGATTTGCTTTTTAAAACTCCTACACCTACTCTTTTCTAACAGCTAGCTCTGTTTAAGGAACTAAATGAGACATAACATGAGAGATCTTTAGGGACATATTGCATTCTACCAAGTTTGTTGAGTACTTTAAGAAAGTTCTTGCTATTCGCTTATGAAATGCGTTGCCGGATACATTAGTGGACAGATTGTTATTTAGTTTAGTTATCCTCTACGTTTATGGCAGTCTTACTGAACGGTTTCAATGGATTTATATTGCTTAACCACTGAGTAGAACCCAACAACTGTTTTAAACACTGATTACACTGCACGAATTTTTTTTAAAAGACAACTCCCGCATCAGGAATATATATCCTGTGTCGCGGGGGAGTTTACAAACATACATGAAACTGACACAAAGAACACCCAGACTCAGAACAACAATTTTTGAATCACACAAAGTGTCGTCCCATGTGGGATCGGACCCACAATACTCAGCGTAGTAGTAAGCGGCGTGGTGACCACTTAAACCACAACGCCATTCGTGTAGTCAATTATTTAATTAGAATTCTGTAATTAATAATCTGTTTATTTACTTAAACTTAGCTTCTTATTATACAAAACGAAAATACTAAAAAAAAAACGATTGGCATCTAAACACAACAGAATTTTTTAACATTTATAACCTCAGAAATGGTTTTGTACTGTGGACCTGGTTTTTTTAATGACCCTCTAATTTGAGGTGTTCTCTTAAATACTGATTAAAACCTATTCTCAACGATCTAAATAAAATTCATATTTATTAAAATAAAACTTAAATAGTTTAGTCACATTCATTCTTAATGTATTTTTTATTGATTTTTTTTATGATTATAATCAATGTTCGCAAAAGAGGGGCTCGTGACTAAGTGGTAACACTTTGCAAAGTTAAGCAGTCCTTGCCAGGTCGGTCTATGGATGAGTGACTATTCTTAACACATTGAGACCCGTTCCTGCCCCGGAGAGCACATTAAGCCGTTGTTGCCATACGAATATCGTTACGGGTAGTTGGAGACCATAAAAGTCCAACAATAGTCTTTCTACAGAACAGATCATCATCAGCACTTCGATATTGCCTAGTATATGGATTATAAAAGTCTGATGGCAGTCGCTCCGCGTAAAAAATCTAAGTTAAGCCGTACTGTTGAAGGCTCGGAGGAAGAACAATGTTTGCCAGAATGACAAAACTGCAAATTGCGACAAATAGGTATATACTATATAGTATAGTTAATGTAATGTAAGCCTCAACGTTTTTATTATTATTTTTGTTTTATTTCGTATTTTTTAAATTTTATCAAAACAATTTTTTAATTATATTTTTTGTTACTTTAAAGAATTTAAATTTTAAACATCGCTTTATTACTTTCGCAACAACTTTGTTCGCTTGGTTGATGGTATTATTATTTTTTCACTGTGCTTGCTGTGGTCTCCTGTAAGTGAAGGAGTACATCGACTTTAAACCCATTCTGTTAATTACTGTTTTTTTACTTGTGTATATCTTTCGTAGGAGATCCTAATAAATAAATAAATAGTTAGCCGGTTCCGTCGGTGTTACAATTAAATAAAATGTTTCATTTCTTTAAACTCCTTAAATGGTGATTTGATAATATTTAACCGTTCTGTTTTTAAATATTTACCAAACCATAGAGCAGCATACACGAGGGCCATGTAGGGCAACGGAATCGGCTGTAGTATCGGGACCAGAGGGAAGTGGCATATTTTGGGATTGCCCCAACGTTGCACCATGCTAGCGCCACCACGCTCATCCGGTATGTCAAACAGCATTGCCAAACCTAAGTGTAGAAAAAAATGGAATTAGGTAATAGGCTAATTAATCTCTGCCTTGTTGGGGATCAGACTGCCGTGTGTAAGTTGTATGAAGTTACCGTTATTATAGATTTTCATATTTATTTCTAAACTTTCAAGAAAAAAGCGTACTCCTTCCTAAAAGGCCGGCAGCGCTTTTGTGACTCCTGAGTTGCATTCATCGGCGGCGATGGTCACTTTCCATCAGGTGACCCGTCTGCTCATCTGCCCCCTCTAACATAAAAAAAAGCTACCGACAACATATGTATTTTTTTTTTTCGCTGGTTCTACTGCATTTACAGAGCTAAACGAAATAAATAGGCCATGTGTTGTGTACATTAAGTTGTATGCTGTTATCTAACTGCATGAATTTATCACGATTCTATATGTGTTTAATATGGCGGCTTTCTGTCTCTTTATTGCATATTTCTGTATCATGGTAAACCTAATTGTTTTAATTTACGGAATAATGATACCAGTTTTTTTATTATTATGAGTATTAATGACTCAATTAAACTATGCATGACAACTGCGCTGTATAAACCCTATACAAACCCTATACCAACTGACTGGCCAGCGTTTCAGCGAGGTTTATGTCCAGCAGTAGACTACTAAAAGCTGTTCATGTGAATGACTCAATAGCTATAATTCGTTAGGCAGATGACATATAGACCCATTTTTCTCATTAATTTTTTTCTCTTTTGCACAGCGCTCTTTCATGATGTCTTTATCTTTATCTGTACAGTCATTATCATCAACCGCCTTTACTAGTCCACTGCTGGACATAAGCCTCTCCTTAGAAAAGAGGTTTTGGTAATTATACCACGCTGGCCAGACGGGTTGGTACAGGGTTTGTGTCAAGTTTTTTTCTGTACAGTACTAATGGACATTGCAAAACATCGGGATCCTGTACCTACGACTTTGTTTCAGATACATTATATTAGTAACCATTATTGGACAATTTGAAGTTAAACTAATACACAAACTTGATAGAAGAATGTATTTTTGGCTTGTTATAGCCCTTATCGCAATCATGAAAACCGGCTCCTGTGTAGAATGCCCGCTTCGAACCGAAGAATACCCTTTTCTGTGGCTTCACAGGGCGTCACTTAACTAGAATATCAATGGCACTATCCCATTCATATAGCAAAATTGACAATTTTTTTAAGAATTCTTTCGAAAACGGACTTGTTATACAAATGAATAAATGATTATTGATGAAATTTAACTCACAGATAGTGTGTTAATTTATGAGCTGTCTCAACAATTAATACGCGTAAACGAGGCTAACAAACATAAATATGTAATTGATTATACTATTAAAAATTTCGTAGTAGATATACTCTTTAAAGACAAGGGAGTAAAAAAATTAGAGCTGCCTAATCTGCTATAAGAGTTTAATTCTAAAACTACTTTCTTGCGGTCACGACCATAAATCTAATATGCAATAGATATTAGATTTATGGTCGTGACACATATTATTTATTTTACTTGTTATTGGTTTACATTCTATCATCGATATACTTAGCCATGCTTTCACATCGTTGTTAAATTTAATCTTGACTAACTGTATAGCGTCTCTCTTGTGCAACTCACGTGTTCATGAGCGGCGGTAGGCACTTACCATCAGAGAACCTAGTACAAGTTTACTTCACATCAACTCGCTCTCGACATCGATCGCGTTTAGCGCTGCGATTGGTGAAGATTTCAGTGCGGACCAATCGCAGCGCCGAACGCGATCACCGTGACTATCGAGTAGATTTGAAATAAACGCACTTGGGCCTCTGGTGACAATGGACAACAACAAGTGAACCTACAACAAGTGCGTTGACGGGTTGAAGGTCGTATTGGTACTGAAATTCCTGCCATATTCGCTTGACAATTGGTTCCAAATAATAAAATGTTGCTGTACATGTAAACTACAAGTTGTAATAATTGTAAAAATATTGAGTTACTTTTAAATGCGTTATTTTAATTTCCATGTCACCTATCGGTAACGATTTTTTCTTATGTAAGAGGGGACAGACTAGACCCGATGAATAGTGACCATCGCCGCCCATGAACGTCTGCAACTCAGGAGTCACAAACGTTTTGCCGGCCTTTATGACTCATTTTTAACCGACTTCCAAAACACAAAAGAGGAGGTTCTCAATTCGTCTGTATTTTTTTTATGTATGTTTGTTCCGCGATTTCTCCGTCAATTGTGGACCGATTTTCAAAATTCTTTTTGTAATCGAAAGGGTATGCTCCCGAATTGGTCCCATTACCACCAATTCAGGATCTGATGATGGGATCCTAGAGAAATCGAGGGAAACCCTCTCAATTATTGGGAATTTGACAGCCCCGACAACGTGTTTTAGCTACGAGTATTTCTTTAGCCAAACAAACCATGGCAACCGTCAGAGACTGCGCGATGTGATGCGCAGAGAACTTGCAGTATTTATGTCACCACAGTAATTTTCGTTGTTATAATGTTACCTGTTACATTGAGGGTACTTATTATAGTTTTTTACTTAGATTTGTAATTATTTTTTAATTTTTAGTGCTCTTTGTCGGTGTTGTTTGAAGTCGGTTCAACTTTTTTTTTAAAAGGGTTTATCCTACATCACATGTTTTATGTTAAATCTGTTCCAAGTATTGACTTGGAAAAACACCGAATATTTTGTATCTTACATAATAGGGAAGCTACAACGGTGTTATGAACCAAAAATACTCAAACGACTGGTAGGTACTCCGATAAAAGTTAGGAATTTTAAGCGTCTAGCTCACGTTACTTTCGGCATAGAAAAATGCTTTTTTTAAAAGAGCCAGACGCATGCATACACGGAATATTAAAATGTAGATTGACCTTTTTACCACCACTTTCACTTATATGAAAAGGATCATTATGTAATCAGTTTTTCGGTGATTAGAGCAAGAAATACTCATTACATTAAATTTATTATTAGCTAATTTTATATTGGTTAAGTTGTTAAGATGTTAAGTTATTTCTATTTGATTGTACGTGAAAACTTGTTACTTAACTTATTGGCCAAAGATAATAAAATAAATTTGTCCTAAGTGAACCAAACGCGTAAATCCTATGTTTAAAATACTTTCTACGCTAAGTACAATCAATTAATACAAATGTTTTTACGTTAGATATAATAATGCAAATACCTACGAGAAAGCTGCGATACAATCCATGAGAATTAATTTATGATATTATATTTAATATTCGTGAGAACTAACTGATAATTTAATATTATTCTCGTAGCATATTCATCGTTTGTATTTACCTGCAAATTACTTGTGAATTGCGTAGTGCGATTCTCGGAAACGATGGTACAGCCGTTTAGAGTACTATCATGTACTTATGAGAAGTGTCCGTGTTTATATTAGAATAGGATATTGAAGTAATAATAGGTCTTTACCTATGAAATTGCCGTTTTGTATGCAATAAGTGGCAGTACTTATTTTTTCAAACTTTTTTATTTCTGTTATTCGAAGTAATCACCCATGCAATCGACGCATCTTTGCCAACGCATTGGCAGTTTATTGATGCCCTTCTTGTAAAAATCAGCTGGACGGGAGGCAACAAACTCTTCAAAGGCATTTTGTACTGCCTCTCGGGAATTAAATTTTTTACCCACTAAAAAGTTGTCTAAATTTTGGAATAAGTAATAGTCGGTAGATGCAATGTCCGGTAGTCACATCTGCAACCAGCTTTGGTCAATCGGTCGTCCCCACTGCTCCTTCACGACAACGCGCGACCCCATACTGCGCAACAGACAGTCTCCAAGCTGCAAGAGCTGGGTTGGAAGCTCTCCCTCATCAGCCATGCTCACCAGACCTTGCATACAACATTTCACTTATTGCATACAAAATGGCAATTTCATAGGTAAAGACCTAATAAGTTTTACACTATTTTTTTTTATAAATATAAATAAATATTTATAAATAAATGTAGGTAATAAATATAAGTGATTCATACGAAGAATACGAATGCTTTGTAAACTATACCTTTACATAGTTTAATAATGGAGTTATGTTTGTTTATGACTTCATTTTATCCAAATTCGAAAACAGTTTTGACACCTCCGCTGTATCCGTGACAATGACAGGCGTATTGGTCTAGTGGTTAGTGATCCTGACTAGCTAGCTAGCTAGGTTCGATTCCCACCCAGGACAAAGTAATAATAAGTGTGATGTATAAGACGACCGTTTGTCAGATTTGTGAAGATATTTTTTTTATATTAATGTTGATAAAAAAAACAGAAACTTCGTACCATATAGGTACGAAGTTTCTGTTTTTTCTCACTTCTAAAATGAGAAAAAAAGGATAAGTATTGCTTATTTTAAAGGCCTAAACCTATTTTAATTATACCTATAAAAGGAAGTTTAATAATTAACGAATTCTTACCGAATAAAATCCTGGTAATGGCTAAGCTGGACGAGTCTTTCGGAGCGTACATATAATCCACTATCTTAGTGAACGTCACATCTTTGAGGTGGAATCCAAATTGTTGCAAACATTTCTCGTCCAATTTTCTATAGACAACTTGTGCTTTTTCTTTTGCAATCATATCTACGAAAAGAAGTTTACTTTATTTACAAAATCCCTACTTATATAATATTATAATACAAAACTAACTGTGTCTGTCTGTCTGTCTGTTACGCTTTCAGGGCTATACCGCTAAACTGATTTTGATGAAATTTGGCATCGAGGTACTTTCATTCTAGAGGAAGGTTATAGGAAAGACTACTTTTTACCGCGATACCCGGCATACACGCAGCCGGAGCCTCGTTTATCAGCTAGTATGAAATAATAATATTTATTAATACTATCAGCACACGAAAAGCCCATAAAGACTCATAAATAGAATGTCATTATATAGACCATGACCATACTATAATAGGTCAAAACAAATTCTGAGGACGTGTGATTTTACATCAATTTTAAATTTTTAGCACAAATATCGTTCAACAATGTTAGCTTCCTACTTTTTTAAATGCGTATTCAGTATTTTGAATTTACTTAATCATTTTATCTCTATTTGCTAAAAACTGATACCAGATATTCTCTTCACATATTGCTTAATATATACCTAGATATCCTGTTTGATCGCTTTCTTGGGCTTAAAATCTCAATTTATCATGTACAAATTCAAATGTTTGCTAAACTTTAGTTAACCAGTTAATTATTAATAATAAAAAAAATCTAAAACCTGACTGCGTGATAAAGTATAGATACTTAAAATTTACAAACAAATGGTATATCATTTATACAATTTGATATACACACAATATACACTCTTCAGTGTTACTCCCACAAGCCAAAATCTGTCAAATCACAGCTGTTTAGTTTAAAAAAATACCCACAAAGATAACACTTTACCCTCTTACTGTCGCAGACGCAGTCGGGTAAAATATTAGGAACATGTTACAACGAGACAGTTTAAAACGTTGTCTACAGAATTATAAGCTGGTTAAATATAACTATAAAAAAACAGGGCATCATATCAAGTGTTATCATGTACCATGAATTTGCCTTGTCTTGGTTATTTTGAATAAATCATTTCACTCACCGTATCCTGCACAAGAGAAAGCTCTCACTTCGAATCCCAGACCTCAACTGAACTACTCACGTTATGCTGTAACATATTTGAATTAAATAACATCGTAATACATATTTCTTGACTAAATTTATGTCAAATTAATTATGTACATGTACAATTTCAGTCAAGCATGAACACACGTGTTATGAAGGGTTGAATGTTCAGTCAGATTATGATAATAATGAGCAATCGTCTGCGAAATAGAGCTTTAAATATTATTCAGTATACTGATGTGGTGTCTGTTTATGTTATGAGAAATATGAAGGTGTATAATGTATTAACGTCTCCATTTCGCTAGTTTCGCCTCTCGGGGTTTTGCATGTTAAAAGAATGACCTAAGTTTTTAATAATCTGGAATTTTGTATTCTCAGTATATTTGATGATGAAGAACTTATATACCTATTATAAAAAAACTATCTGTACCCTGCCACGCTTCACTGTAGCATTGATGAGTAATGAGCAGCCCTGGATCTACAATTTTTTCGAACCGGGGCAAAGAAAGCTCTCTCCAGCGTTTGAGATAAATTACTTAAAAAAACTCACAAATGGACTACACTAAACTACTATATATCTACACTACTCACGGACCCACACTACAAGTTCACTGGTAGTGTGGGTCCGTGACGCATTTTGCTCCACAAAGCGCCTAGCATGCAGGAGCCTGGTTGGCTTCCGTATGCTGGCGCTTTGTAGAGCAGTTTTTTTACGTTTAAACAATCAAAAGTATGATTTTGGCCCCCCCTGAAACTACCGCCCTAGGCGGGTGCCATCCCTAGATCCGGGGCTGGAAATGAGGAACAAAACTGACGATTATAATAGATAAAAACCATATTTGTAGCGGGTCGTACTGCGTGCCAAAACTTGAGCTCGATCGGTGCAGAGCTTTTTAAGATTTTGAAGCGTTCACAAACCAACTTAACATTTTTATACACATCATAAACAGCCTTTAATAGTCCACTGCTGGACAATCACAATTATTACGTTATACTTGGAGTAATACAATACTTAATACCATTGTATTAGCTACGATTGATACGAAAACAACTGTCACTAAGGGCCAAGGAGCGTTTGTGGCCGGTAGAGAGAGATCCTCTCTAATGACTGCAAAGACTGACTGCCCAAGCCGGGCAAATTGTTTGGGCGTCCGACAGGTTAGGGCCCACCTCGCAAAGGTGCCGGACGAAGCGGGCAGAGAGAAAGCTCTCAAATAATTTACCCGCCACGTCTCGTTGGCAACACGGTGGACAACATGACACAAACCCTATACCAACCCGTCTGGCCAGCGTGGTTTAGTAGGCCAAAACCTCCTGTCTAAGGAGAGGCCTATATCCAGCTGTGGACTACTAAAGACTGTGGTTGATGATGACAATGATAGCAGTAGCTGTCTAGCTCACCTCGCTGAATTTGCTATAGTGGGTTCTGTTCACTCTAATCACTCTAATGGGTTAATTCTTATAGCTACACAGCTGAAATAACCACTGCCGTCAGTTAGAACATTGTTGTGAATCCCGGGCAACAAGGCTATATCCCAGGGGAAACTTACGAGTCCTCCAAAGGGTAGAGCACTGAGCCAATCTATCTGGCTTGTTTTTATTGTAAACTCCACTATGTACTCTTGGCTCTCGCGTCGTTACGATAACGTCCCCGAGGAGAGCCGAATGGATTTTCAACAAAAAATAAAGCATAAAAAGTAAAAAGACATATTAATGCTGAAACATTTATTTCTTACATTAATAATTGTGGATACAGATATATTTCTAAAACACATTTATTATTGTCAATAATAATCTCTACCAAAATCGACAAGCAACTAACGTCTAACAACTAATTTGTTCTAATACGTTGTTATCAAAATGTGTGAAGGTTTTTTGAGCTGACTTTTGAGCAATTTCTAGAGAATATGTAACCTTTGTACTTTGAATATAAAACTTTCTTAATTATAACCGCTTAATTGAGTCCTAGCCTGCAGGATACAGGGGCGCGAAGGTAGGACGAGAACGGGGATTGGGAGAGGAGCGGGCGGCGGCTCGTAGCATGACAAGGATGCGCAGACGAGGACTCAAATAAGCGGTTTATCTATGGGGAATTTTTTAGTACATAGTTAACAGTTTCAACAGCCCTGACTGATTGACATGAAACTTACTTGTTTCGACCATACTGGTCCTGAAAATTATTCTACATTTTTTTTTGTACAGGGACCAGTATCATCTAACTCACACATTTGCAAATAATGTAGCAGAAGTAATTCGAATTACTTTTCATACTATATGACATCACATCAAATTCATTTTTATGGTATATCTATGCAAAGATTCTATGATCTATGTGTGACCTATCTATGACGTCATATGAAGGTCATGTGTTCACTGTGTCAAAAACTCTCGTAAGAGAGTAGATATATTCTTTGGTCAAAAATAATAATGACGTGATTAGCCACCACTGTGCTGTAGTTAAATGATGTAGAGCATAATTAAACCGTGTTGTGGACCAACAATTCAGACTACATACGGGTCAAATTAATAGTTCGATTCGAATTGATTTGAAATTATCTGTGTCATATTACGGAAAAATCAATTTACTTATGTAGTTATCTCAAAACATATTTCTAATTATTGTAATAAAAAGGTGTTTTCAGTAAAGATTACAAAAACGGATCATTTGTAATAGTTTAAAGAGGTTTAAGGTCAATGAAAAATATACGGAAACCATCTTAGCCTTCGCAGATGACCTTGAGATCCTCACACGTAACCCGAAGCAGTGCCAAGAACTACTGTGAAAGGTGGATGACTTATGTACCTGGACGGAGTCAATGAGGACAAAACCTAGCAAATGCTATTGCCCTTGTCTTGGCCGGCGACGTACCGTACTAAGGTCGTAGGTACTCCATCTATGAACGTACTAGTCGATGACTTGGTAAAAGACATTGACAAGGTAGACCAACAGCCAATAAGTAACTTAAAAAAAGCTGGGACGACTACTTAACATCACGTCTCAACTGGCCGTTTCTGGTATACGTTATAAACCAGAACCACTAAGGAACACTGGACGCGAAAGTCACTAAGACCTTGAAGTGTGGTTCGGACTAGCACCATCTGCAGGGTCTCGAATAACTTTAAGAAAAAAATAAAAAGACCCTTGGCACTCTACAAACACCTAAGAGTTACTAAAATGCATGGCTTGTCAAAATCACAGGACGAAATCGTTAGATCCCTTCTAAAAGACATAAATTCATCAGAGCTCGAGTCACGGCTCCAATTCGACAAGAAAATCATTTTGGGTACGTAGTCTAGCAGAGTTGGATTGGAAAATGCTAGAAGACACTGACAAAGTGATAACAAAATCTTTCCTACAACAAGATGACAACGAGACCTAGGTACAAGGTGCACGCAATAAACCTAGAAATGCAGAATGAATGATAAACTTTAAGAGAATTTTGTATCACACCATCTTTGAAATGGCGCACACTTTTAAACGATTGGTCACCTGCCCTATTAAAATATTACCTCAAAGCCTTTTAATTAACTCTCCCTAATCCAAGCAACCTAGTAAGGTGGTTTAGGGAAAAGCTACAGCTAAAAAGCTACAGAAAAGGCTTGTATGATGCGCAGTGCGGAAATAGATACAGCCGGGCACTTACTGACAGGTTGTAAGGCGCCATTAGACCGGGGTTATTATTCACGTCGCCATGATAGGGTATTACAAATCATACGCGAAGCTATGAGTTAATCACTGGCGAGAGCGAAAAAGGAATAACAACAGTGAATCCATGGAACATTAAGAAATAAGTTGATATATTTATGTTCTAACCAGAATTTGAGACATCATTACTATCATTATTATTCCTTCATGGTGATCCAATAATAAAAATATATCGACCAAGATAATTTGGTATTGATAGTGTGTAGTGGCATCGTGTAAGTATAACAAAATCGATATTAGGTTATGGTGTCATTAGCTTTGTCAGCAAA